TGCATAAATAATCATGCAGTATTAAATGTAAAAAACCAAAAGCAGATAAGGTATCAGCTTATTGGAGTAAAATCTTTCATCTAAACCCTCCAACTTTGCTCCCACTTCTGGAGATTTGCTGACTGTTTGAACAAAACTGGATATATTCATACCATTATACCTCTATTAATTATTTTGGTTTCTATGGCTTGAAAGAAATGTCTCCTAGCATTCTGGTATTAAAAATGCAAGCTTCAAGGGTGATTAAAAGAGTTAAACATTTATTGAACTTAATGAATAATGAGCACGGCAGGACTAATTACGAAAGATTGTTCCCTTGCAAAGTCCGGGTAAATGTTAAAAACTCCTAACCAGTAATGCACTGCAGATAAGTAGTGGAAACCACAAATGGGATTGTTAGACTCGGGCACAGATGGATGCCTCAAGCAGTCAATCCAACCTGTAGCATGGTGAGGGTGAGTAATCAGAAATTATGAAGGAAAAGTTCTAGGAGCCTTTTACGTATATTATGGAAATTTCTCGGACTTGGAGAGGCAGAATTAAGCAATGTTTAAAAAGTGTAATCGGGTATTGAGGCGTAAGCCTCACAAAAACCATAAAAATGTCTAAAATTTATTATAATGCAAAATAAACTCATAATACATTATAAACAATTTTATAAATTCATAATGAACAATTTAAAGTTCGCAAACAAACAAAAGAACAATTTATAAAGAAACTGAAAAGCATAATATTTTATTATTTTAATAGGCAGTTGGCCGTTCTCAAAATGGATCGATAAGAATTTCTAAGTGTTATAGCCACAAGCTTCAAGGAGGTGCCGTGAGGGTTGTGCCTTAATCTGACGCGGGCCTTAAGATAGGTTTCAATTGGGTTTTCTTAAACCATGGAGTTAAGAGCACTCAACACTGGATTACGACTATGTTCGGATAAAGCTCCAGACATATTCGGGCAGAAGTTTATTTACTTACATCTATCCAGTTGCTTCAACAAAATAATTCAGGCCCTTGACATATTCAATAGCTACTAGAAGAAATATGGAACTGGCAATGAAGGGTGCAGATATCACGTACATAGATTTGAAGGAAGGAAACACTAGCTAATTGATTGGCTGACACAGGCTATAAGGAGAAAACTTCCAGAATACTGCAGACTGATGAAATCCATGGTGATGTCATTTGATTCCTCAAGCTCAATCAATGGTCCAAATGTAAGAATTAGGTAGTTTTGTCACTTATTTGATTGTAAAAGCAATATCTTTCATTTTTTTTTTTTATATTTTATGGCCTTAGACCTGATTGCTTTTTTGAATTATACCAAGATTTCACTCCTACACTCACTTACTCGATGAGAAAATACCCTATAAGAAGGGCTGATTTGCAGATGAGATGAGTAATTATCATACCGACTCGCTTTCATCCTTACCCGTCCTAGGGAAACTCTTTTTAGGAAGTTTTGTAACAGCAAGGTGGTAGTTCATACTTTATAACTCGATTTTTTTATTTTTTTTTCACGATTTAAAAAATGAATGTAAGTATAAATAAGCAACTGATACGAAAGAAACTGTGATAGATTTTTTAGTCTATCTATAAGAGGAGATTGTATGAAAAATGTAACCAATTCTTCCGTTTCTTTGGGACACTAGCCATCTGTCAAGAGTTTCAGATTTAGTCCTGATGTTTTAGCAATAAATCCAATAAATTTGGGTACTGTGATTGGTGCACTGATCTTTCTGGAAAGAATGTGGGTATGTGTAGATGCAAAAAGATCCCCCATGCCCCATTCCCCCTTGGTAACAATACAAGGTAAGGTGGTCATACACCCCTCCATTTGTAGTAATTCTTTCGGTCAATATACTAAGTAGGGGGCAATCCCAAACTCCCCATTTAAGCTTAGGAGGGGAACAAAAGAACCGCCTATCCCTAAACGAATTTTGATATACATGTTAATTCATTAAAAGCATGCATGAATAGAATACAATACAGCATTTGCAGCTTGAGATGAAATCAAACACAAATAACGATGAAAGCAAGCGAATATTTCTTTTCCAAAAACCTCATGTATAAGCAATCTCCACAAAACTGTCCAGTGCCAATCTTGCATTTGCTGCATTCAGTGCGCAGACCCCGAGTTTTTTGTCTGCAGGAATTGAAATTGTTATTGGTTATATCAAACTTAATGAACTTGCACGAAAAGGTACTAGGAAGTGAAAATGGAAAATTAATTGAAAAACTTTTGCTATCAAACAACACAAAAGTTGGAAAGTGGAAAAATTTTTCCATTTTCCATGGAAAATATCGCCACTCAAACAGGGCCATAATGTGTTTTTGGGGAAAACGTATTTTGAAATAGTAATTTTCTTGGAGAATGTGTGGTTATAAAGTAAGGAAAAGTTTTGAATTTACGTGAAATATTATTTTATTGAAAAATGTGTGGTTAAAAATGAGTTTTAAAAAAAAAAAAAGGGTTTGATGGAGCCCAAAAAAGGTCTTAGTCACAGGAGAAGATCATCATAATGCTACTTGAAATTTATCGGAGTCCTTGAATATTTAAGCACTAAACAAGTTAGTCCATTTATTAATCAAATCAAATGCTCAGCACTCTTTCAAGTTACAATATTACCATTTTCAAGTTGCATTTTGGTTCCATCATTCTTTATCAATTGTACCATCCTAAATGCGTTGTAGCTACAAACAATCTGAATAAGTTAATTAATGTCAAGTTAGTCGAACGAGAACTACCAAATCTTGTACTGATTCTCCATGACAATTAAACCCATAGCACATAACTACTGTATGAACCACAAAGACATTTTTCTCCTAAAATAAGAATTTTAATTATTCTCCTCTGTGTACATGAAGTCCAATGGAAGAATCCAAATTCCACCCTTCATTTCATTCCTCAACTGTTGCTCGTTCCGAATTCACAGAAAAAAATATCCTCTGTTTGTTTCCCATTTTTCCTTCATTAAAATGAAAAATATGACTGTTATCAATCAAATCAAACCACCAAATTTGAATTTTTATCTCTTGTGTATGCCCATAACAACTATATTTTTCATTAATATTTTTACATTAATGTATACCAAACGGGCCCAATACAACCCAAAACCTAAACCTATATACATATCATCCTAGTAGCATGGATGGTTTTCTTTTTTAATGTTAATATGGTAAAATAAATGTAATAGTCCGGCTAAACAAACAAACCATTTTAATGTATTCTGTACATACCTGCATTGATGGCAACTCTTTCCCTCGAAAGGATCATAAATGCGCTGCCCTTCTTCGTCATAGCCGTCAACAAAGAGAGTCCAGGGGATTTTACAGTCGCCCAAAAGCTTCTCTTGCTCCTCTGTGTAAGTTTCAGGGTTTTCACCTTCTTCTATGCGGATCTCAACAATTTTCACAGGAATCCCCTTTTTGTCAGTTTTCATTTCAACGTAACTCACCCGAGGCATCTCTTGCAACCTGATAAAAATCCTCAGACGACTATAAGGTTAGGAATAAAAAACAGTATCTATAATTTCATGATTTCTCTGTTTCTATAAGCATCATTAGCAAGAAAAAAAATGGCCCGGATGGAAAATTTGGGTTCACATTCTCCCAACCCCCACACAATTAAAAGACATGAACATGAACAAAATAAAACTGGAGATTCATCAGAAAAAAAACAAAATAAATAACTAAGGGACAATTTATAAAGATGACTTGTTTCTTTCTCTCGTGTTTTCTAGGTAACCAAAAAAGAAAACCAGTACACACGCATACATAGAAAAAGAAATAGTAATGTCAAATTTTGTGTTTTGAGAAGAAGAGAGTGATTGAGCACCTAGTAGAGCGCCTTGGCGGATCATCACGTGCGGGTTTCTTCTTCTGAGAAAGGGTTTTTGCAATTTGACGCTTAGGTTCCGGCTTGAGTTTCTTAGAGAGGTCCAAAATCCCGAGGCTTTTCATTCTATCCATGTTTTGTTTAATTCTTTGGGCTCTTGATTCCTCGTACTCTACTATTTCTTTCCCACCTCCATTTTCATTTTCTCCGTTTGATTCTTCGCTCTTTTCAGTTTTCTGACTCCCACGCCGTGTACCCCCCATTTTTCTCTCCCACTGGAAAGCTTCAAGATTCGATTATAGATTTGATTCTATGAGAAGTCTGTATGTATATATGTATACTGGGGGGAAGGGGAAGGGGTTGGGTTCAATTTTTTTTGCCATGCCTTTATGGTATTTTCCCGCGCACTTGCCGCCTCATTTTTATGGTAAAAACAATTGTGTCAAGCTGTTTATAATTTTAACAGAGGGTAATTGACGCTTTTTAGCTCCAATTTGTCAATCATTACATACACTTTTTGATTTTGATTTTGATTTTTTATACTTTTTTATTTTTGTGGGATTTGCTTAAAAAGTCTAGTCAATCATAATGGTTGAATAAATAGCTTATATCAATACTTTTTATTCAAGTAGTCTATATTCTATTTGATCATTTATTAATAGTCTTAAATACCCTTAAATTGAAATGACTAAAATATCAAATTTGAAAATCAATAGTTACCAAATCCCCAAATATAAATTCCTAAATCCCCTTCATTTGTCACGTTTATAACTCCATTTTCACCATATTAAATCCATCTTCAAATCCAACTTTCTTATTCTTCATATGCATTATTTTTACTTACAATTAATTATTACACTTTGAAGTTGCTTTATTTGAACCAAGAACAAATCAAATAGTGCAACTTTTGGAGGTGATAACAAAAGTATCGATTTCAAACAGTTGAAGGTATGCTTTATAAATTGAAAATTAACGATTTCTTGTTTATCTTCTAGTTGTATACTATAAAAAAATAATAAAAAATAAAAATCAATTGGGTAATCAAAATTTGCTGTGATATATAAAAATGGAATGGTGTCGTTTTTCAGTAGTTGGATGCCCTTTTTTTGTAACTAGGTGCCGTTTTAATACAATGGTGGTGGTGTTGATATACTTGTTGGCAAACTAGTCATTTCTCCATTTTTTTATAGCATTTTATTATTTTAAACAAATTTAAACAGCACATACACATTTTAAACTACAGAATGTCATTTTTCTGTTTAAATCTGTTATGTACAATATGGGTTGCCTTTTGTTTGTTATTGAAGCTGTAATTTATAGTATTCAATTTTGACAATTAATGGAGTAACATATTATATTTTTTTTTGTTAAATTGCAGCTATGGACTATGGTGCAATGATTGTTATTTTGTTGAATTTGAAAAGACAAGGTAGATGGATTTAGGAAATAGATAGGAAATGATGAAGACATCCCAACAAATATATTGGTATCAAAAACTATTTCACATACGGAGTTGTATGACGAAGTCCGAGAGTAGTTAAGGTTGATCCCATTATGTATGACATCGAGATGAAATTTCTTGTTCCTGGCATGGCAAAATAATCAGTTTCGCCAATTAACATTACTTGCGTTATGAATGTTAGTTAGTTTCTTTCTTTCTTTTCGTGACAGAGTTCCAATTTGTGTAACCCTCAAGGAAAAGGGTTATGTTGATCAACAAGACATGGAGCTTGATATTGTAAATGCTCAAGAGAATCAAGAATACAATTCAAATGTTTTTGTGGTTAATGCAGAAGACATGGATGAATTGAATATATAAAAAGATAAGTCCCATGACAATTATGTATGACCGCTGTCTCCATTTAATCAAATTTTTGAAGACGATTGCGTGACCTTTACAAGTGATTAGGATGGGGTGGAATTAGTAAATGGCAACTACATAGATGATTCTCATATGCTAAATGAAGATAGTGTTACTCATAATACACCTTTTATATTGGTAGATAGATTATTGGCATTCACAAGTTGTTGGTTGTACGAATCTTTGTGGAATATCAGTTAAGATTTCTGATGGCGATGATGTCCACGTTAGCTAAATTTTTTGCAATAAGAAAGATTTTCAGGCATCATTACAAATGCTTACTGTAAGAAACTCTTTTGAATTTAAGATCACAAAGTTAAATTCAAGTAAATATGTAGTAGTTTGTGTTGATGAAATTTGCAAATGGTGTCTTCGGACAACAGATTGAACGAAAGTGATGAATTTGAAATTCAATAGTATTCGCGTTATCATAATTGTTCATTAGATTTTCACCACAAAGATCATAGACAAGCTAGTTGTTGGATGATTGGAAAACACATCATGTCAAAGTTTGAGGGTCCCAACATTATATACTGATCTTCAAAAATTCAAAATGATATTCGTCGAGAGTTTGGGATTGATGTAAATTATTATAAGGCACAGATGGCTCGAGAATATGCCATAGAGCTATTAAGAGGTCACCTGATCTTAGTTATGATAGATTGGTCAAGTATTGCAATATTCTGAAGAAGAATAATCCAAGTACAATGAAGTTTATTGAGGTTGACAATGAGAACCGTTTTAAATACTTTTTCATGGTTTTAGGACCATGCATACGTGGTATTTACTCGTCAATGAGTCGGATCATTTCTATGGATCATCTTGCATTTGACATTGTTGATTCTAAAAACGATGTATCATGTACTTGGTTCTTCAATAAGTTATTTTAGGTAACAGGTATGTTGCTTGTTTTTATTTCTGATCACAATGATAGCATTGGTAACGCTATAAAGATTGTTTATCCTTGTGCACATCATAGATGTTGCATGCAACATTAACAACCAAACATAAAGTCCAATTATCATAGGACCAATATTTTGCCATTGTTTATGGCAATTGCAAAGGAGAATAGTTTGATTAATTTTTAAAAATCTATGGCAAATCTATATCGTAAAAGTTCGGCAGTTGAAGAATACCTAGAAAAGAAAGTTGGGTATGAATTTTGGTTTCGAGCACATTTTCAAAGGAATCCATTACAATATTATGATAATTAACAATGCAGAATCTTTGAACTCGTTATTCAAGAATGCTTGCGAGTTTCCAATACTTGCTATGGTTGAGCAAATCAGAAAAAACTTTACAAAAATGATTTTATGAGAGACACATTGAGACTAAAAAATGTGCAACTACTATAACCCCACCTATTGAGGATAAAATGCACAAAACGTATGATGATACAAAGGGATTGATAGTGGTACCAATAAATGAGTACGAGTTACATGTCGATGTTGAAAATAAAATGCATATTGTTAACTTAGAGGCAAGAACCTGTACTTATAGGGAATTTAATTTGGAAAAGCTTTCTTATAAACAAGAACTTGTAGCAGTGAAATTCAAGGAAATATATTGTTAAAGTTTGTGCTCACCTTATTATACTAGTACTAGTTGGAAAAAAGCATATGCTGAATGTATATATCCAATGGTAAATAAGGCTGACTGGAAAATCTCTAATCAAACAAAGGTGTTACCATCTCTTTCGAATCAACGACAAAGTGGACGTATTAAAAACTGTCGAATTCCATGAACAGAAGAGGAAAAAAAGACTCGTAACTATAGTAGGTATGGTCAGATGGGTCGTTATCGTCTGACTTGCAAAATGCTCTACACTATTTAACTGATGAATATAACTTTTTTGTTTAACTTAATCTTGAAATTTTGATAAATTTTAATAATTTTTGATACGTTGTGATGGTTATCTGATAAATTCTGATAGCTATTTCAGTCAGATTTTTTATAAATATGACAGCATCACTGTTTGTTCAGACCAAAATGGCATTTGGTCGTTTTGAATGTATGGGTGCTATTTCTACTCATTTCATGTTCATTTTTTATATTCAAATTTTTTATGGATGGATGGATGTTAATTATTCAATTTAATCTTTACATTGTGATGATTTTATGATAAATTCTGATAGCTTTTTCAGTCGATTTTTTATAAAAATGACAGTAGCACTGTTTGTTTAGACCAAAATGGTACCTAGTCATTTTAAATGTATGAGTGATGTTTCTACTCATTTCGTATTCATTTTGATGCATTTAAGCTCGTAACCACTTGAAAGTTGAAAGACTAAAGTTACATTTTGACGTTACGTTCGACACATTCGTCCAAATTATAACAAGCCTCTCTATAATTCATTTGGACCCTACATTTCACTTGATAATAAAGAATAACATAAGTGGCGAGTGTAGTATGCAAAAGATAGGACGTGTAATCGTTCAAGGTGTACAAAACTTATATGATGTTTCAAACTATTTCACTGGTTTCGGAGTGAAATCGATATCCCTTGACCCAAAACGACATTTGATCGTTTTAAACCTACGGGCTACTTTTCCACTCATTTTGTGTTCATTTCTGTGCATTCAAGCCCGTAACTATTTGAAAGTTGAAGGACGAAGGTTCTAATTATATTTCGATGTTACGATTGACACATTCGTCTAAATTATAGTGAGTCTTTCCATAGTTCGATTGGAACCTACACTACACTAAATTTCACTTGACAATAAAGAAAAACATAAGTGGCAAGTGTAGGATGCAAAACATAGTACGTGTAGTAGTTCAACGTGTACAAAATGTGTATGATGTTTCAAACATCATTTTACTAGTTTCGGAGTGAAATCGATAACTATTAACCAAAAATGGCATTTGATCATTTTAAACATATGACGTTTCTACTCATTTTGTATTTGTTTTGGTGCATTCAAGCTCGTAATCATTTGAAAGTTGAAGGACGAAGGTTATAATTACATTTCAACGTTACGATTGTCACATTCGTCCAAATTATGGCGAGTCTCTCCATAGTTCGATTGGAACCTACACTGCACTATGCTTCACTTGATAATAAAGAAAAACATAAATGGCAAGTGTGGTATGCAAAATATATCACGTCTAGTCGTTCAACGCGTACAAGACGTGTATGATGTTTCAAACACTGTTTTAAGAATGAAATGAAGTAGGAGCAGAATATAGAATGCTAAAATGCTTACATCACTACTGAGTCATCCAAATTGTATCCGAATCTCTACAAAAATCTTTTTAGCTTCGTGAACAATATCATTTCCACATATTCACTGCATAAAACAAATAACTTAAGAACATATATTGCAACTTCTCAAAAATAATTACAATAAGAATAGTTACTTGTCTGGTACATTAACCAACCAATTCTCTAACTCATCTACCTTAGTCGGATCTAGCTCTTGAAATGGGTCAAATGCGTTGACGTTGTCAAGCTTCATCCTCTTCTCCGCATTTGTAAATAGAGATCAAAGA